TGATGAATGAGGTATTAAAACCTTTCATAGGCAAATTTGTGGTTGTGTAATTTGATGATATACTTGTTTATAGTAGTTGCGAGGAGAGTCACATTAATCTTCTTAGGCAGATTTTTGAAGTGTTGAGGAGACAAAAGTTTTATGCTAAGCTTGAAAAATGTGAGTTGTTTATGAAGAAAGTTGTGTTTTTAGGATATGTAGTTTCGGGTGAGGGAATACAAGTGGATCAATCTAAGGTTGAAGCTATTAAGAGTTGGCCACAACCTGGTTCCATAATGGAAGTCCAGAATTTCCATGGGTTAGCTTCTTTCTACCATCGGTTTGTGCTTAATTTTAGCACCATTATGGCTCCCATAACCAAGTGTATAAAGAAGGAAACATTTAAGTGGACTAAGGCAGCAAGTGAAGCATTTGAATTGATTAAAGGAAAGTTGTGTGAAGCACCCATCCTTGCATTACTGGATTTTAATCAAGTGTTCGAAGTTGAGTGTGATGCAAGTGGTGTTGGCCTTGGAGTAGTCCTTACTCAATCAAAATGGCCTATTGCATACTTTAGTGAGAAACTCAATGAGTCAAGGAAGAAGTATAACACTTATGATAAGGAGTTTTATGCTATAGTGAGAGCTTTATATCACTGGAGCCATTATCTACACCCAAGGCAGTTTGTACTCTATTTCGATCACTAAGCCTTGAAGTTCATCAATGGCTAACACAAACTTAATCCTAAACATGCCGAGTGGGTTGAATTCCTCCAATCCTTCTTATTTGTTTCGAATAACAAGCAAGGAGTAAACAACATGGTAGCCGATACACTTTCAAGGAGGTATGCCTTGCTATCCTTACTAGATTCATGGGGTATTTGGTTTTGAATTGATGAGATTGTGTTATGATGCAGATGATAAGATGAAAATGTGTATGGTTGAGTGTGGAAAACCTGGTTTTGAGGAGTATGTCATGCATGATGGTTATTTGTTTAAGGAGAATAAGTTGTGTGTGCCGAAAGAGAGTTTTAAGGAGTGGATCATAAGGGAACACATGGTGGCGATTTGGCAAGTCACTTTGGGGTTACTATGACCCTATAACTCATCAATGAGTATTTTTATTAGCCTAAAATGTTGAGTGATGTTCAAGCCCTCATTAAAATGTGCGGTTCATGTCATAGATCAAAGAACCAATTCAAGGTAGGCCCATACATGCCCTTGCCTATAGCTGAACATCCTTGGGAGGATCTTAGCATAGACTTTGTGGTTGCTTTGCCAAGGACATAGCAAGGTAAAGATTCTATCATGATAGTGGTTGATCGTTTTTCCAAAATGGCTCATTTCATACCATGTCATAGTCATACCACATATGATGCATCTCGTATTGCCAATTTATTTTTCATGGAGATTGTGAGGCTACATGGCATTCCAAAAACAATTGTGTCATATTAGGATACAAAGTTCCTAAGTCATTTTTGGAGGAGTCTATGGAGTAAATTCAGAAACAAAGTTGTTGTTTAGTACATCCCATTACCCTCAAACTGATGGTCAAACCGAGACAATCAATAAAGTGTTAGGCAATATCTTGAGGAGTTTGGTAAGTAAACATTTGAAGGATTGGGACTTGCAATTAGCAAATGTTGAATTCACATACAATAGGAGTCCAAGTTCACCACAGGTCACACACCATTTGAGGTATTATATGGTGTAAACCCCTCTCACTCCATTTGATCTTACTTCACTGCCCCTTGATTTCAAGCCAAGTGTGAATGCTAATGAGAAGGTAAAGCAAATGAAGAAGCTTCATGAGGCTATGAGACTTCAGATTGTGAAAGCCAATGAGAAGATTAAAAGCAAGGCAAACAAAAATCAAAAGCCTGAACTCTTTTAGCCGGGTGATTTGGTGTGGATCTATTTGAGAAAGGAAAGATTTCCTGGCAAGAGGAAGAGTATATTGGCTCTTAGGGTAGATGGCCCGTTTGAAATTGTTGAAAGGGTGAATGACAATGCTTACAAGGTAGAATTACCTAGTGAGTATAGTGGTGTATCAAGAACTTTTAATGTGGGTGACCTTAGCCCCTACTTGGAGGACGATATAGATTTGAGGGCAAATCCTCTTCAACCCGGGGAGGATGATCCGTTTACAAGTCCTAAAACACTTGTGAACTTGAGTGGAAATAGAATTGCAAATCATAACACACTTGCAAATTCGGTTGAATCAAAATTAGACAATCTAGGTCCTAAAACACTTGGTACATGACATGTGGATCACAAGAATTGTAATTCAGCCCAAGCTCAAGAAAGGAAGCTAGCCTAAGTTGTCCAAAAAGGCAAGTCAAATTCGGTCCAAGCTCAAGGAGAGGAATTAGCCCAAATTATGCAAGGAAACAACTTAGCCCATGTGCATAAAAGAGACATTTCGGCCCAAGCCCATTCAAGCACAAATTATTTAAGTGAAGTCCAAGTCCAACAAAGAAAAGGCCCAAGCATTCAAGAGGTCCAAAACAGCCCATTATCCAAGCCCAAAGAGCATTCCCATGCTATTTCATTTTGGGGCCTCTTCAATGAATTCCAAGGCCTAAACTCATGCACTCTTGTTAGTAGGATTTAATTGAGTATTGTTATATTTAGTTAATTATCCTTGGTGGCATATTTATTTTACTTAAGTAGTTAATTACCCTTATAATGCTACTATAAAAGCAAACTCTCTCTCATTTTGTAAGGTTGAACAATGATATTGAAAATTAAACACTTGAGAGGGATAACTTTCATTTTGTCTCGAAATCTTTATCCAAGTCTTGACAAGGGATTTGGTGGTGATTCAACTTCAGGTTGGTAGAGAAATCCTTTATGCTTGAAGATCTCTTCTTGTCTCTATCCTTTTTTTATTCAAGTAAGTGTTCTTGTGTTTCATCTTACCTTTGCCAAATTTCCAATGGTAGTAGTGTTGTTCAAATCTGGTTGTATGTGGTTTGTGTTGTGTTTGCATGATTTTAGAGTTGAAATACCCTGGATAGTTGAAACGTGAATGAAGGTTGTGAAGAGTCTAGCTTGGCCGATTCTATATATGTGATGTTGTGATGTTTCCTTGAGTTCTCATGGTGGTTTTGGATCAAAGAGTGTATGTGTATTAACCCTATTAATAAGGACAAATGAATGGTAGTGTTTTTGGAGGTGACTTGTGCTAGTAAGTTGTTTTAAAACACCATAGATTTCACCTGCCTTATACTTTCTCAAACTATAGGGATGTATGTGATTTTCTCTCGAAATACAAATTTAGAGAAAAAACTTAACTTAAATATTATTAGGTATTAGAGAATGGGGGTGTTGCAGGAATTGAACTCGCAACCTTTCGCACCCAAAACGAGAATCATACCACTAGAGTACTAGACCAAGCACCCAACAAGTTTACTCTTAAATGCCTTTTACTTTCACGTTTACCCTTGTGAGATCAAATTTCTTTTTAATTTAGAGGGAGAGAAAAAAAAAAAACTTCAATTTAAATAATCATAAAGAATAAGGTGTTGCAACTTCTTGCACTTGAAGTGAGAATGATACTACTGGACCAAACACCCAACAAAAATTTTCTTTAAATGCCTTTTTACATGGACATTTTCTACTTTTACATTTACTCCTTGTAAGATCACATTTCCCCTTTATTTAGAGGAAAAACACCCAAATCAGGCAATGCTTTGAATTATATATGCTTCTTTTTTTAAGCAAAAGTAATTTTATTTCATGCATTAAAGTGAAATAATACCTCTACATTATGAGCCATGTGCAATGCTCCACTACGGAGAACTATTTTAAGATAGAAAAATGAGATTGAGGGTACAAATATCTTGAATTTAACTTGTGAAAGATGAATTATAAGTTTTTGGTAATGAGATTGAGACAATTAGAGTCCGATAACCCCACCCATATATATATAAGTGCTTATGATAGTGTAAAATATTCATGGCCATCCTTAAAACTGTATATTTAATAAACTTATAACAACATATGTTTAGTATAAATAATTCATGAACATAATCATATATATATTCTAAATGCCCAGATTGAAATATGATAATCAAGAGTCCCTCATTGTTAAATATCACTTTTAAATATTTACTTTATGTTTGAATAATCAGTACTGTTTTATGTTAAGTGTTTGAAATTACAAAATACTTATTTTAACAAGATTACCCCTACCCCATATTATTAATTGCAAGATCCTTCAAACAAAAATTAAATTGATCAGCTGAGCTGAGCTGAGCAGATACTTGAGTTCGGGTATACTTGCCTTATTCATGAAAAATTTCATAATCTGTAGAAGGCATTAAATTGGGATAACGGATCATTAATTCCATGAAAAATAGAAATTAATTGATGGATGTATCCAACAAATGGAATCAATAAATAAATTTAGCTGAAAATTTAATGGTATAGGTGGAGACAATAAATAATTATATATAAATTTGTCAGCTGTTTATTTATTATGTGAAGTGGTTGGTTGTAGTTCAAATCTATTATGGGTAAATACATGAAAATTAAATTTTTTCAGCTGTTTATTTGTTATGTGAAGTGGTTGGTTGTAGTTCAAATTGATAACACAATGAATAACAAACTATGAAACATCTTGATCGTAAATTTAATTATAAATTCTTAACATAAACTAGAATGATCGATATTAGTCTCTTATTCATGTACTTGGAATCTCACCTTTCATCTTATAAATAAAAGTTTAATACATAAATTCTATATTCTATATATTATTATGAATAAATAACAAAAATACATGGCAAATTTATTAAATAATCTTATATCAATTTTGTAAAAATTTTGTGAGAACAAAGGAGTATGAAATATAGTTCTTGTAATATATAGTACATTTTTTTCAGATAATTAACTTAATTCTTATAGAGCAAGACATTAAATTGCTCCATTGTTCATACTATTATAAACATACTCCGCGGAAGCTTGAAGTAAGGATCTCTTCCTTTCTCTTTTGTCCCCAAAACCTTACATTTTTTCATCATGGAGGAGCCGAAGGGTCGACCAGTGGGTGGCACTGAGTACAGCTGGTGCCGTGCCGTGCCCGGCGGCACCGGCATTGCTGTCCTGGCAATCCTCACCTCAAAAACCCTAGAAGCCTTAAAACTTCAAAACGCCATAAATAAACTACAAAAATTACACCCAGTACTAAGGTCAAAACTCCACAGAAACCCTAGCAAAAACAGCTTCTCCTTCATCACATCTACGACTCCTTACGTTCAAATCAAGTCGTTTAACCTCTCATCAACCTGTAAAATACTTGAAAGTCTTAACCCTCCGACGAAAAACTTGCCTATTTCGCCTTTACAATCACTTCTTGAACATGAACTTAACCAAAATGTTTGGTGGTGTAGTAATGATAATAACGAAAATGATATGTTCTTGGCGAGCATGTACTCACTGCCTAATGAAAAGTGGGTGGTGGTGCTCCGGCTTCATGTTTCGGCGTGCGACCGGACGACCGCGGTGTCTTTGCTGAGAGAGCTGCAAGAGCTGGTGGGTGAAGCAGAAGAAGAAAAAGAAGAGAGGGGAGGGAAGGTGGTGAATGAGATTAATTTGGGAATTGAGGATCTTATTCCAAGTGGGAAAGTTAAGAAAAGCTTATGGACAAGAGGGATTGACATGCTTAGTTACTCGATGAATTCATTCAGATCAACGAATCTGAAATTCATTGATGTGAACTCGCCAAGATGTTCTCAGGTGGTGAGAATCCAGATGAACAAAGATGAAACTGAGAGGATCATTTCTGTAAGTTCAATATTATGTTAATTATTTATTATTGTTTAGACTTCAGAAATCTCCAAAAAAACTTACTTTGCATGTCCAACTTGAAAACAGGGGTTTCAATCGAATCCTCTAATATTTAAAAAAACAAAAAACAAACTATATAGGTATTTATGAGAGTGTTTAAACCCTAAATCTTAAAAAACTGTTAAAAAAATAATAATAAAAACATAAATTGATTGCACATATATATATATAAAAAAAATTGCAGGGTTGCAAATCAAGAGGAATAAAATTATGTGGAGCGCTAGCAGCAGCTGGATTGATGGCTGCACAGAGCACAAAACGTTCTGAGTCTGATCAAAAGTATGCAGTGGTAACTTTCACTGATTGCCGTTCCATTCTTGAGCCACCGCTTTCAGCTCACCATTTTGGTAAGTTAATCTTTGATTAATTAAGATATTAATAATAATTCTTGTTTAATTAACCTGTTGGTTTTTAGTATACAACTTCCAGAATCTTGAAAATTAATATAATTCTTATTCCCTTTCATGACGTGGATAGATTGAAAATATTAACATAAACATGTGAGGGGTTCCAGTAGATTCATTAATTATATGATCCTGACTTCTGGAGTTAAGGTGGCCCTCTGCAACTCTGTAAGCGTGGTCTTTTTGAACAAGCTACTGTATGCACAATATCCTTCCTTAAGCACGACCACCTGTTTAATTAATTAACCATTGATCCTGTTTAACAATGTATGCAAACTGAGTATATATATATATATATATATATATAGTATCTTAAATTAATTTTATTAGTTAGAGAAATTTTGACTCATGTCTTCAACAGGTACTCTAATCTCACTCCATAATCAAAAAATTTAATTCATACAATAAGTTTAAGTTTGTGATAATATTATTCTTTATTCAGGTTTTTATCACTCAGCAATCATGAACACACACATAATAAGAGGAGGAGAAAAACTATGGGAGCTGGCCAAGAAAATGTACATGGCATTTGCAAACTCAAAGAAGAGCAACAGGCATTTCTCAGACATGGCGGACCTCAACTTTTTAATGTGCAAGGCTATCGAAAACCCCGGCTTGACCTCATCTTCATCCCTGAGAACATCTCTGATGTCAGTGTTTGAGGACACAGTGGTGGATGATTGCAATGAGAAGCACCAAGAACTTGTCGGGTTGGAGGACTACATAGGATGCGCTTCGGTTCACGGACTTGGGCCGTCCATGGCGTTGTTCGACACCTTGCGCGGCGGAAGATTGGACTGTGTGTGCGTGTATCCGTCGCCGTTGCACTCAAGAGAGCAAATGCAGGGGATGGTTGATTGTATGAAGAGTATTCTTGTGAATTCTGTGACTGAATGTGGAGAGTAATGAGAGATGGGCAGATGGCTAAACTATAAATTATCTACTTATAACGGCTTTTACTTAAAATAAAGATATTCATGGCGTGCTTTTTGGTGAATCTGATCTCTGGCTTGCTTCCTTTTTTTTTTTTTTTTTTTTTTTCCGATTCGATTTGATTATTTGTTGGTTTTGTTTTAGCATTTTGGATAATATTTTTAAAAAAGTAAAAGTTGGGTGGTAACAACATTTAAAATTATAAAAACACCTTTTAGGTTTGTTAATTTATTAAATATCTCTATAATAAAAATATTAAAAATTATAAAAATACCTCTATCTACCTATTAAATACTAGCTGTTAGCCACCATTATTGGAGGATGGTTGGAGTCATCGTATCGGTATACTATTGGTCAGATCCAGTCAATAGTGTTCCATTATACCATATTTCGATCACCTTCCGATGGTGGTAGCTGGAATCTGATAAATGTGGGTGGTGGGGTGTTTTTATTAATTTTTAAATTTTTTTGGGATTGTTTAGTTAAATTAACTAATTCAGGGGGTTTAAATAATTGAATAAAATATAATAATATTTTTAGAATAAGAAAATAAATATGTATTTTGAAAATAATAGGAATACGGAATAATAGGAAACAAACACAGACATTTGAGATTGTTGATGTCACCAAGACCTATATATATATATCATAATTAATTAAAGTTATTTATTTTAACATTTTAACGGTCAAATTAAAAAACTGACCCGAAAGAAATTGTCATGGATAGCCCGTTATCTTGTTTTCGACTTTTTTTGCCTTTGTTTATAAATATAAATTTATGTGCAATCTTTATCTAAGATTCTCCGAATCGTTAATAATTGGTTCAAATCATTTTAGTTTTCCAAGCTGATATGTATGTTTGAGAAGACAAGGACACAAGAAAAATATGTTGAAGTCACAGATAACTCTTACAAAATTAAATTATTTTTCATTTAAATAAATAAAATATATTTTCCATAACTTGCATCATTCAGACGACTTAACATAGAACAAAAATTCAGTCCTTTAAATTAGTGTTTGTCCTAGTTAGAGTCATGATAATAATCAAACATACAATCTTAAAGTTGTATCTCACAAATTAGGGGTGATCGGTTTCAGATACCCATCAATTTTTGAAGAAACCGGAATCAAAACCAACTAGTTCTTAAGATTTGAAACTTGGAACCGAAATCGGCCGGTTTCGGTTCCAGTTCCCGATACTCGGGTAAATTTTAATTATCCCCTACTTTTAAAAAAATTACAAATACACACAAAAAAATTACAGATACACGTCTAATAGTTTACAAAAATTATAATTTAATCCTGGTTCCTACCTGGGTAGTCGGACCTTGTTTTGGTTTTGGTTCCAGTTGCAATTCTGATTCTCCGTTCTAGGTTTGTAGGAACCGAAACCAGACCCGGAAACTCCCAATTCCAATTTTCTAGAACTTGAACCGGACTATAACGGGACTGGTTTTAATTATGTTAACCCATGCTCACCCCTATCACAAACCAAACCGGCTCAATGAATATTTATGTTTATTCTACATTCGAACAGTGTTTGTCGAAATATAAAAAAATGATTGCGATGTTAGTTATCTTTAGATTAGCATATTTTAGTTAGTATATAAATATAAATAAATAAATAACTACTAATAGATCAGTGACATTATTGAATTAGCAATATAATAGTATTATCCTTCTTAATTAATTTTTCCAAACATATATAAACAAAGGAAAATCTCATCCTTTCTTGAAAGTCATTAAAAGAACAAATCTCTGATTCCATCTCATATCTACTGGATCAGATTTCCTATCATTTCCGTTGGACAAATTTACAAATATTACCCGTATAAAGATAAACTACAAATGAACAGTCCTTTTCTACTATTATAACTTGGTTGCTCATAAATGGTATAAACTACCTCCAATAAATAATAATAATATTTGATACCATACAAATTACATATTAATGGGTAACAAGATATAAATATTATAAACTTATAGATTTTTTTTATTCAAATTTTAATATGACTGTAGAGAATAATTTAAATGGTAATATTAATTGAATTCATGTTATTGATAATGCAATGAATATTTCCTAACTATTTGAATCTATACAATAATCTATGTAATATTTTATTGTTTTCCTCCAGTTTTGTTGAAAAATTATTTTCAAAATGATTGATCATATTGTTTTATACGCAAATTTATATTTTTCTTAGCTGAATATTGTTAAAAAAAATTAGATTTAGAAACAATATTATAAGCTATTCCTGAATTGATATTGTACACATCATTAACTCCATCGTAATTTTTATTTATTAATATTACCGAAATTTTATGTTATTTCAAAAACACCCCAATCAGGCTTTTTAAAAACAAAGAATTTCCATTTCCATTAATCAATTTAGTCTTAGACATGTTTCACTCTCAAATCCAAGACCCGAACCCACAGGCATCCGAGCCCACGTCCCGACTCGTCGGCGGCACCGAGTACAGCTGGTGCAGAGCAGTTCCTACTGGCACAGGCATCACAGTCCTAGCCCTTCTCCTTTCAAAACCTCCAGATATTTCACTTCTCCAAAATGCCCTCCACAAGCTTCAAAATTACCACCCTATCCTCCGCTCCAAGTTCCACTACGACTCCCCTTCCAACACTTTCTCCTTCATCACTCCGCCCCTTCCCCACCTCCAAATCTCAGCGTTCGATCTCTCATCAACGTCTCAGATCATCCATGACCACGACCGCGATGACGTCACCCCATTCCACCTCATCCTCGAGCACGAACTCAACCAAAACGCCTGGCAAAACGACAACACGTGCGACACTGACGTGTTCTTTGTCCGTACTTACGCGCTAAACGACACGCGATGGGTTGTCATTTTCCGGCTGCACACGTCAGTGTGTGACCGGGCGTCGGCCGTGAGTTTGCTGAAGGAAATGTTGAAGCTGATAGGAGATGAGAGGGAGGGGGAAGGGATAGAGGAGGAATATGAGAGAAAGAGTGAGGTTAGTTTGGGAATAGAGGATTTTATTCCAAGTGGGAAGGCCAACAAGCCCTTCTGGGCGCGTGGAGTGGACATGCTGGGTTACTCGTTGAACTCGTTTAGGCTGTCTAATATAGATTTTGTGGACGCGAGTTCAATCAGAGGTTCGAAGGTGGCGAGGCTGCAGCTGGACTCGGCGGAGACTCAAAGAATTCTGGAGGTGCGTGTTTTAGCTATTATATTTTGTTTTTATTAATTTTATTATTTAGTTTTTATTTTCTTTATGAGTCCAATCATGATAGGCCACTAAAAGTCAGTGTTTCACAATTTCAAATATACAAGTCGACAAGGCGAGACGGAAATTATTGTCCTTGTAGGATAGAATATTCGATATTGATTCCTAAAAGGTTAAAAAATAAAAATAGACAATGTTAAATTTTAATTAATATAATTATAATTATAATTATATTTATTCTTTTATTCACTTTATATATAATAATTATCATTTAAATTTTACTTTAATAAATGTTCTTACACACACTATATTACATTGAAAAGAAATATTTGGAAATTTCTTATACTTATCTTAGTATATATTCTAAAATTGGTGAGATAAATATGCCTCTGTTACATTAAATAAAGATAATATTGTGTATAAAGTGCTTTCAATGCATTAAAGATTCTATGTTATAAAATGAAGAATAATACTACACATACATCATTTTCATACAACATTTGGTAACACAAATAGAATAAACTTATAGTCAAATGCGTTTGTAGGAATGTGTTTGTTAGATTTTAAATTTTCTAGATTACCAGTCACACCGCCGGTTTAACTAGTCAACTCGAACCCAGCCCCTTGGTCAGGTGACACCCCGAGTCGGGTTTCTAAACAATGATGATAATTACTTTTCACAAACATAATTTAATTACAAAGGTTATAACTGTTTTATTGTGAAACCTGTTTCTTCTAGTAAACCTTAGAGATGTCCAACTTAAAAACCTTCAAAATAAAATGAATAATCAGATATTTTATGAAATAACTTTTAATTATATTTTGATTTTTATTAAATCCAAAAAATGTTCCCCAACCAACCAACAAAAAGAATATGAAACTTGAGCCGTGGTCCCGTGAGGCGTCAGCCCATGGTGCTCAAGTAGGCCCAATCCGATTAGAGCCGAAAGATCCAAACTAATTAACCAAAAATATGCCCTCCCCTCTCATAACATGTGCTTTTATGCACTCTGTCTCATGAACTTTCAGTTTGGACTTTTGTTTTTATAATTTTAGCTGAAACTTTTTTAATTCAAAATGTTTTATATAAAATTCCTAATTTTTGGGTTAGGTTTTGTCGGCAACAACTCCGAATCCCACCAAATTTCTAGCGGGCCAGGGACTTAGCCCAACAAGCCCTTGCCTATTCTTGTGGAGTCTAGCACTTCTCATGAATTTTTTAGATTGTGCAACGTGATTGAGAGTAGTTAAGGCTCCATTTGATTCATTATTTTGATAGTTTTTAAAATAATATTTTGAAAAAAAGTTAAATTTGGTGGGTATTACGATGTATAATTTGAAAATTAACAAAAATACCTCTTATGTTTGTTTATTTACTAAACACTCTTATAATAAAATATTCAAAGTTAACAAAAACACCCCCAACCCACTCATTAAATATGGACAATCATCCACCACTACCGGAGGGTGGCCGGAGTCGCCGTATCAGCGCATAACCGGCTGGAGCTTGTCGGTCGTGTGCCGATATAGATTTGGCCGGAAAAGGCTAGATCTACGACTAGATCTGGCCATTGACGGCCAGATCTGGCCGCATTTGGTCGTCAACGATGGCCAAATATACGGTCAACGACGACCATATCTTGGCCGTCGTTGACGATTGTCTATAGTTAAAGATCTAGCCTTTTTCGGTCAGATCCATCGTGGATTTGGTCGGAAAAGGCTAGATCGGCGTACTACCGGTCAGATTCAGGCGGTAGTGCGCCATTACACTAGATTCCGACAGTGGTGACCAGAATTTGGTAAATGTAGGTTGCAGGGGTGTTTTTATCAATTTTTAAAAAAAAATTTGGGGTTGTTTAGTTAGATTAACAAATTTAGGAGATTTAAAAGAAATTGAATAATTTAAATAATATTTTGAGAATAAGTGAACCAAACATAAATTTTTTGTTTAACTTCATTGGAAAACTAGAATAGTTTTCCCAAACTATGTACCAAACGGAGGCTAATTGTTTGTTCATATCATGTTTTTATAATTCTTCATAATTTAGACATGGATTTTTGGTGGGTACACAAGATAATTGAATGCTAAAATACTGCAGGGTTGCAAGTCAAGAGGAATCAAACTCTGTGGAGCCTTGGCAGCTGCTGGATTGATTGCAGCACGGTCCTCTAAATGCCTTCCTGAGCACCAAAGGGAGAGGTATGCTGTCGTTACTCTTACTGATTGCCGATCGATCCTTGATCCTGTTCTCAGCAGCAATCATCTGGGTATGCCTATGCCTTTGCTCTTAGTCACATTCATCCCGCTACTCATTTTTCACCTAGTATATTCAAATTTTGTTCAGGATTTTATCACTCAGCCGTCCTTAACACACACGACACAGACGGAACTGAAACCCTTTGGGAGCTGGCGACGAGAACCTACACAGCCTTTGCAAATGCTAAGAACTCTAACAAGCATTTCACTGACATGAGTGATCTCAATTTTCTTATGTGCAAAGCCATTGAGAATCCTGGATTGACCCCATCATCGTCGTTAAGAACTGCCTTCATCTCAGTATTTGAGGACCCTGTGATTGATGAATCCAATGGATTGCATCAAGAGATTGGCGTCGAGGACTACATTGGCTGCTCTTCGGTTCATGGCGTTGGCCCATCCATCGCCATATTCGATACCTTACGCAATGGACAGTTGGATTGTGCGTTTGTTTACCCTTCACCCCTGCATTCTGAGGAGCAAATGCACCAACTGATTGATGAAATGAAGAGAATTCTTGTAGATGGTTGCAACAGTGAGAGTTAAAACTTCTTTTATGGGCTAATTGTACTGATAATAAACCCATTTCATTATCTGGGTTAGCTCATTAATTATATATTCCCCATTTTCTTGTACGAACCAGAAGATTTTCTAAAAGAAAAGAACCAAGTCAAGGCTGCCATGATGAACTTACAAAATCCTTTAATCCTGGATTTTAAACATGCCCACCACATCTCTGACATGAAATAACTTACCATTTTCCCATTCTTTACCAAGTTATGTTCACACTGAAACTTCAACCGTCACAAGCAACAGCATGTTGTATGTAATTCTATCTTTTAACATTAATTAGCGCCAGTAAAAAGAAAGTTTGGAAAAAAAAAAGAATTGTGGAAATTCATATATACAATTGTGAACAAAAGGATTAGCGATAGCTTTTGAATTCTGACGATGTTTCGGCAGCGGAGATAACATTTTCCGAGGAATAGGTAAACTAGGTAGTTTTTAGCCTCCTGATTTCCTACCGAGAAGATGAACCGTTGAACCAAAGAGAAAATTCACACTTTTTGAGTCTCCTGTAAATCTGTAGTGCCAGCTGCAGACAACTCTCAGTAATCTAAGCATGAAAAGTTAAGTTTTTGACAATTTTCTCTAATCAGGCCACCTTTTACGGCAGGAGAGATGCCAAAAATTTGAAGTTCTTCAAATATGAAAAGAAGAAACAAGAAAATTAAGCCAAGTTTTCTTGTTACTCTCAATTAATGAATCTACCTAAAAAGTTGCAAAAAATTAGCTCAAACATTTGCTTAAAGAGTTGATGAGCTAAGTATTACATCCTAAACACAAATTGGTGAAATTAACTACAAATATCCAATTACAGAGAATAACTCCATTTCACTAATATTAATCTAATTAAATAAGCTCTTCTACTAATTTTCCAAACTCAAACCTCCTGTTGCTACATTCAACAGCATTTACAATCTCTTGAAACGCAGACACACTGCATGGAACCACTAAGCCACTGCTTTGTTCAAAACCAAATTCATTATAAGATTTCTCCAGCAACATCTTGAAGAGTGGATGAGAAAGATACCCTGTTGGAACCACAAACCTCTCTCTTTCTTCTCCCACGTAAACTGCAAAAAACCCTGTTGGCGTTGGGGTCATAGAAGCCGTATCTTCATATTCTCCCAGCAAATACTCGTTTTGTGACTGCTTGCTTTTGCCTGATCCTCCCATAACCTTCACCTTCTTCGCCAGTTTCTTGAAGGAAACTATCTTTTTGCCCAACATTCTTAAGAGAGAAGCTGGAGAGTTTGAGGCTGAGAGAAGAAAAATGGTTTGGTTAGTGGGTAGGAGAGAATTATTTGTATTGATTTGTTTTGTGTATTGATAGAATGAGTCTTGGGTAGACTAATTAATTGAATACTAAAAATAATTGGGAATCTAGACCGTGATGATAATGGTAAGTTTGTAAATCACATAAATTTTGGTTTACTTTGACCTATAAATAGTTTAGAGCAATAAAATTTACTATACTTAGACTTGAAAAAGGAGTTTGGCTCTACTAGTGCAATTTAAACTATGGACCCTAATCTGAATTTTACTTTGAACAAAATATAAGTATATGATTGGTGATTGATAAAAAAACATATTAAAATGAAACAAATCATAATCATACATTATCGTTAATACAGTATATAGGTGCACGATAATATATAGATGTCATAAGATCTTTAAAAGCTCACGATAACTCAGATAGAAGAGGATCATAATTCTTGTACTATTGGGTACTTCCTCTTAATTCTAACCAACTTTAAACTATGTAAGGACACAATGTGTATGTTTTAAATACCATTATTGCATTTTTTTAAGTAAAGTTAGTTAATATCACCTTAAGGTCATTTTTGTCTCTACATAAAAAATATTGTTTTCGAGTTAGGATTTGATTAACAACTATTAGTTTGAGGGGGATATTTCCTAGTTTTGAAAGGTCATGAAGTTGACTTATGGACCAAAAGCTTGGGGTGGTTTAAGGTTTTTTTCTTTTTCTTTTAATCACCGAAGTGTCTGGGTTAGCTTGCACGCACCTCAACTATTCTATGGAATTGTCGGCTAAGTAAGAGCCTTAGTGATCACCCCTATTAATATCTGGGAAACTCGAACTCAAGAACCCATGAAACTTCTTTTTGCTCTTTTACCATCAGGCCATCCAGTGGTAGTTGGTTTAAGTTTTTTCTCTCCTTAAAGAAGTGGAATCAAATCAATGATATGGTGCATGTATAGCAGAAACTCACTACAAATGAAAAGACGTAGTGCTCCACATTTGTTGATTTGAGAATAAAATATAATGGTGGCTATTTTTAATGTATGGCTTATATGTAAACACATAAAATCCATCAAATGTGGTAGAGTTTAAGTTAGTTTGACATATGAAAATTTAAATGGATTCTGGTTTATGAAATTGGATATTAATATCTTTTTTGGGTTTGAATTAAAATGCCAACAACTAATTTACCGACCATTTCTACCTTACAAGAGCAATTTAAGAAATTAATAAGTGACCCACTTGCCTAATGTTCTGTTCTTATGAATGGAGTTATTTTTTCTGGTAAGAATCAAACACAATATATTAAGGCAAATGAGCAACTGAAAAAGAGGATATTCCTAGATAGTAAACACCTTACATCCATCTTTGTCTTATTGTTTGTTCTAGATTTAGGTCAAAGAAGGTGCTTTATAATGTTATATAATTTGATATTTAAACAAGTGCTTCTACAACTTACCCAAATAAAATAGTCCCATAAATATAATGCACAAAGTTTAGTGGATGGTGGAGCTTGGTGGGTAGCATGAAATGAGAATTAATCTAAAGGGTTTTGTTTGGTATTGTCTTTACACTATTATTTTATTTTTTATTTTTTAAAAATGAACCCGGTGCAAAATCTTTATGAAAAAAAAAATTGAAATTAAACAACATTTTCAATATTTTTCAAAAGGATTTTTATTCATGAAAATTTTTCCCCTTTTGAGATTGGTTAATATTAACTCGTCCATTTTAATAATTAAAAAAAAGCATTAAAAATACTTCTGTAATTATGAAAAAACCCTCCTTAAAATGATCAAAAACCCACTTAAATCAGGAGAAAATATAATAAACTCAATATTGGAATTAGGATTAGATAATAATTATAGAAATAATCAAACACCAACTTTGGTTTGAAGAAAGGACGCGTGAGGAGGAAAGAGATAGAAAAAAATAAAATAAAATGATTGTGTCTTTGGATTGACGCAATTAGGCCGGCTTTGTATTTTTGTTAATGTAATAGAGAAAAGATGGTGGAAATTTGAGGAAAAGAAAGGGAGAAGAAGACAAAATTTATGCCATAGAAAGTGATGAATTAAGTTGACTTCGGAGTAGAATAATTTGGTGAAGCAAGGGAAAAGGCAAAAAAGACTTGCTTGATGGGGTGAACATGAAATGAGATGACCCAATACAAATGTACAAAAATTTGTACTTCAATCACGGAATCCCTTTTGACATAAGTTTTCTTTAAACTTGATGAATCTTTCAAGGATTTTTGATGATTTTCTTTATAGAACATGCCTGCCGCTTTCGTTTACTACTGTTTTCAGAAGTCAAGTGTCCCACAACGGGATTTCTCAAACTTATTAATCCAATCCAATAGCTATCGATACAATACATTACAGTACATGTTTTATACGTATTAATCAATATAATATAATAAAAACATATTTTATACGTATTATCAATACAATACATGATCATACGTTGTGAATGAATGATCATACCTTTATAAGGAACAATTATTCTGTGGAAAGACTATACTTTCATAAATAATAAGAAACGATTGTTTCGTAAGGAAGAAATGGTCGTTCCTTAGAGAGGAACAATCATTCCTTCATTAAGAAATGATTATTTCTTTCATGAGGAACGACCATTCCTTCAATAAGGAAGAATCGTTCCTTATGAAGGAACAATCGTTTCTTAGGTTTAGTCAAAATCATTTTGCGTCTTGGGTGTGGTGAAGTTGATGTGGTAGTGTCAACTCAGTTGCCACATTGAGGTTGTAAGAGAAGTGTGTGAGAATTAAAGATGGAAAATTAACCTTCTCGACCCGCCTCTTTAGGGATGGCCTAGCCCGGCCCACCAACCCTAACCCAAAGGGTTTTTGTGTGGGTTGGGTCAAGCCAACCTGGCATTTTTTTTTTTAAATTTTTTTCTTTTCTGAATTTTTTTAGCTAACTTTTCAAATATCAATTCAATTAAATTATTATTTTTTAGTTAACATAGCAAATATTAATTCAATTAAATTGTAATATATGAAAATTTTGATTTATTCATTTATCAAAAATAAAATAAGAAATAAGAAATTACAACAATAATTACCTCATTAAAAATCTTACCAAGAAAAACCCAATTAGGACAAAAACTTAGTAATGAAAAAAGAATACAATAATTGACAGTTCATTTATAAATTACAAAGTTACAATTTACAAAATAACTAATTTGAGGACTGACTAGGTACTCCCTTATCTGTATCATCTAAATTACAAAATTGAAATGATTCTATTAAAGTATCGTCGATAATTTCGTATTGATCCGGATGGCGCGACCGTTCCCAATCTCGAAGACATGGGAAAACTTCAATCACTTTTGGTGAAAGTTTAGTCTTCTTTTCATTTAAAATTCTTCCACTTACACTAAATGTTTGTTTGGATGAGACAGTTGAGACAGGAATAGAGAAAACACCCAAGACAAGTATTGATAATACTGGAAAAATACATTTTCTGGTTTTCTAATATTCTAAGACATCAAAGTTGACTCTTTGTTGTGGATCTGCTAGTAGCAAGTAAGGGTTCCTAAATATTGGTGAAGCTCATTACTCTTCAGCTACGTGGAGGACAATATATTCGTTGTTGATGCTTCTGAAGAGAAGGCTATGCTTCAGGTTCGAGTCTTCTTCGGCCCATTAAGTGCACTCTAGGAGTCGAAGTCTTCATTTGTGTCTTCTGATGCTACTTCCTCGGGTATTGCACCTCTTTGTTGGTTTTCATGTCTGCTTTTATATTGCAAATATACCTATGCAAGACATTGTCTTATCTCTCCTAATTGATTGGCATATGCTTCGTCTCGTAAATTTTCACTTAACATGTGTAAACCATTTTCTAAACTTGCTAATTTAATTCTAGGATCAAATATGGAAGCTAAACAAAAAATAAAAGAAATGGGTTTCCAATAATTTTTTTTTTTTAATTTTAATTCCATTGCCTCTATTGGTCCTATTAAAATTTCATTGTTTCTGTCTTTTTTTTTTTTTTTTTAATAAATCTAAAGTTTTTATAATTGTATGTATTACCAATGGACTAATAGGATAATACACACCAGAAAGTTTTAAAGTGGAAAGATAAAAGATTTTAAGAAAAGAATGAAATTTTTGAGCTATATGTTAATCACTATCTACCAAATAATGAGGACCCCTCTATTATTTGCTATAAAATAACTAATTAAATTTGCATAAGATAAACATGAATCAAGCATTAAATAAGTACTTTTCCATCTAACAAGCATATCTAATGCAAAAGTTCTAGAAGACAAATTTGATTTTATACAAGCATCTTGAAATTCAGTATTTCTTCTATTACTACTAGTAATCTAAGCTAAAGAACCCCTAATTCTATCAATATTATTTCTAATTTTTTTCATACCACTTTTCACAATCAAATTAATAATATGACATGCACAACGTTGGTGAAAAAACTTGAAATTGTAATAAAAAGGAAAATTTATTTAAAAAAAATCTATAACTCTACTGTTAGCACTTGCATTATTAAAAGTTAAACGTATCACTTTGTGAACAATATCATAATCTTCTAAAACTTCAAAAATTTTATTACAAATTTGTTGACCACTATGATCCACATCCATTAATCTAAATCCTAATAAAGATTTATTTAATTTACATTCGTTATCAAAATAATGACTAGTCACACAAATATAATCTTGTTTAGCTCAACCACTCCATATATCGGCGGTTAGAGCCACACTAACATGACAACTAAGGATTTTATTTCTTAATTCTAATTTCATTTTCCCAAACAATTTTATTAAATTATTTCTAGTTGCAGTTTTAGAATAAGTTTTAAATTCTGGAGAAAAATGAATTTTTAATAAATCTTTCAAAATATTTATCTTCAACCATATTACTAGGTTAATCAGTTGCAGCAATATATAAAGCTAATTGTTTTCTATATACATCAGAAATATAACGCCAAGTAGTACCCATACTAGTTATTTAAGTTTGATTGGTTTCTCTATTTCCATGATGATTTATATATTTACTAGCATGCTTTTT